TTTTTGATCCTTCCAGGATCGGTGGGTTAATGCTCTGTATATTTAGATGTGCCAAGGTGTAGATGTAGGTACTCCTGTACTCTCCTCTTTCTCCTTTTACAACTGCTCATACACCGAATATGATCCAAATATTGAAAAACCTCAATATAAGCCTGTCAATTAGGTTACAAAGCAGCTTTGTGAACCCAATATTAGCAGGATATTCAGCTTCTCTCATTAAAAAGCGGAATTATAGATGTAATGTGGTACTTCATCCACCAGGAATCTCTGGCGTTGTAATTGATCCTTAGTGTGGATAGACATGCATGGATGGATCTCTCCCTCTGTCAGGCTTTAAGATTATAAATCTACTCCTCCACACTCCCATGTAAAGTTCAGTCTACCAAAGTACTACACATACCAGTGAACGTACATAACCAGCCAATTATAAACTCTCCGTTTTACGTTTACACGAAATTCTAAACTTTTACCAACTTCAGTAACAGTTGTACAACTGTTTTGTGTCCCAACTGTACAATTGGGACACAAAGCTGCTTTGCCTAATTGACAGTTAGGCTTATATTGAGGTTGTTAATATTTGGATCATATCGGTGTATGAGCAGTTGTAAAAGGAGAGTAAAGGAGTACCTACATCTACACCTTGGCACATCTAAATATACAGAGCATTAACCCACCGATCCTGGAAGGATCAAAAAAGTTTATTTGCCTGAATTCATTCAGGCAAATTAAAGGTGAAGCATAGGGAGACCATAAGCACCTGGCGAGAGGGAATCAAAAGGATTTCACCTGCACTTTGGCACTTGTTTATAAAGACTTTATTTATAATTATTCATGTATTACACTTATGCACGTGCACATTGGTACCAAATATTTTTGCACTAATATTGCCGGATTGATACGAAATAATTAGTAGTGGCACTAATTATATTTATATTTTATTCATCTATTTAGATTCATTATTCACATTATATCAAGGTCCTATATTGATTATTATTTATTACACAAATTTAGGTTGTGTATGTGTGTATTGGCAATATATTGGAAATCATTTAATCATATTAGTTTATGGAATATCACTTATTATGATTTACATTTGATCTATATAGTTATTAATCCCAAGTAGAATGAGTACAGATTGGATATAGAGATATATATGTATACAAATAGGAGCGCGGCACTATTAATACCTTATATACTGATCTGACGCTACCAAGTGAGTTTGTGTAAGTGCCAGCGCACCTAACACAAAAAACTAGCAAAATAATTGTTTAACACCCACAGAATACCTCATTCTTAATAGCTCACAAGGATTCACATTATATATAGTTCTATAAAACGCAGTTTTGTCAAAATTTTGGAAATTGTTCTTGTGTTGAGATATGGATTAAAATCTTACTTTTCATTTATGCCGAGCAGTGTGTAACATTTAAAACAGGTTTAATTTGAGAATATAACATTTACTGAATATCACAAAAGACCTTCCTCAGGTAGCACTATTTCCTCATTTGGGTGTCCTGTTAGTCTTAGACTCTCAAGAAGGGTGTTGAAGGAAGCAACAGACATATGGGTAAAGTTGAAGAATTTATCAGGACATCTCTAACTCTCCATATAAATGTTTGCAAAGTATCTGCAACTGAGGCGATGCGATAACAAGGGATGGGTGCAGAAGCGATGTCGGTTACTTCCTCCTCCAGCTGTCTCCTCAGCCACCATACCATGATCAGTAGCAGTACTTCAGCAATTTTCTGCATGATGGTATCCATAGTGTATGCAGATGAAAAATACATGCAGCTTCTGAAGAAATCCATGCTCTCCGCTCTCAAAATGGCAGCAGAGAATGTAATCTAATATTTTTCAATGCATTGTTGGAATTGGGAAGTGAAAAATAGTAAGGGCGTGTTTTGTTACAAAAGGCTGACGCGAACAAAACACTTTATAAAATGCAGCTAAAAAAAAAAAAGCGCATTTTAGTGCTGCTTTTTCCTGACAGCAGCACTGGCGTTGTTTTAACATCTAGTGTGCAAGAGGTCTTAATTTGGCCTAATCTGATCACCTTAAAGTGTTACTAAGCCCAGGACCCTGCATTCACTATATCTGGTCTCCCACAGTACACACAACATGGAAATGCAATTATTGTAGTAAATATAAACTGCTAATTACCTTTTCTCATCAGAAGTTAGAGCAGTCTTGTGACTTCTATCAGTGTGCAGCTGAGCACATGTTAAAGCTTGAAGGAGGAGCTTTCATTCTGCCCTAGGAGGATGCAAGACTCCTGACCTCTGCATGTGGTCAGCACAGGGCCAAAAATTGGCACTGTCCAGACACTCCCAAGAAAGGGAAAAAAAAAAAAAAAAAAAAACCCTCTCTAGCAATACACATCAAACCGAGCATGTGCAGAGTGACTCCACACTATTTCTTATCAGGAGATGAGGGGAGGCACTGGAAGAAGGGGAGGATCAGAGAAGTCAGGATCAAACAGCATTTTTACACAATGCAGAGGATTTCCTAGATTATAAGCTCTAATGAGCAGGGACCTGTTTCCTCTTGTACCAAAATTGTATTTAACTGTGCAGTGCTTTACGAAATGAAGGTAGACCTTACAAACTGTTGGCGCTATATAAATCCTGTGTGGAATCTAAAAAGGGGTTAATTATTTTATTACACAGTATAACAAGCATGCTTTACTGCATATATACAGACTGATTTTAGTGTTATGGGTTTAATAACACTTTAAAACCACTTCATGCTTGACCATATGCAATCCCTTATTAAGTGTGCCGAATAAAAGTGACCACTAAATAAGTACACATTTTTTGTCTGTGGGGTAATTGTATGCAGACACCTGAGCGAACTGTACATTTTTACCTCCTACAGAATATGATCTAATCCATATTAGAAATTAGAGGAAGTGTACAGCATTGTTATAATGTATATACAGTTAGTGCTATATATTTGGACATAGGTACAATTGTGATACCTTTTGGCTCTGTATGCCACCAGAATAAATTTAAAACAAAAACAATCCAAATGAATTTGAAGTGCAGACTTTCAGCTTTAATTCAAAGGGTTGAACATAAATATTAAGTACAAATTTTAGGAACTGCAACCATTTTTTATACACTCCCTACATTTTCTGGGGGCTCAAATGTAATTGGACAAAATGGAATATAATCCTAAATAAAAATGTTCATTTTTAATATTTTGTTGAGAATCCTTTACTGGCAATGACTGCCTGAAGTCTGGAATCCATGGACATTACCAAAGATTGGGTTTCCTCCTTTCTGATGCTTTGCCAGGCTCTAACTGCAGCTGTCTTCAGTTATTTGTGGGTCTTTCTGCCTTTAGTTTTACCTTAAGCAAGTAATTCATCCGGCTGCTTCTGTCACATCAATAAACACCAATGACCCAGTGCCACTGGAAGCCATGCATGCCTATGCCATCACACTGCCTCCACCATGTTGTACAGATGACGTTGTGTGCTTTGGATCATTAGCTGTTCCAAGCCTTCTCCACACTTTTTTCTTCCCGTCATTCTGGTACAGATTAATCTTAATTTAATCCGTCCAAAGAATGCTTTTCCAGAACTGGTCTGGCTTTTTTAGATTTTTTTTTTTTGGCAAAGTCTAATCTGACTTTTCTATTCTTCAGGCTTATGAATGGTTTGGACCTTGTGGTGAACCCTCTGTCAGTCTACAATCAAGAGAACTTCACGAGAGCAAATACAATGATACACCCACCTCCTGGAGAGTGCCCTTCACTTGTCTGTATGTTGTGAATAGGTTTTTCTTTACCAAAAGATAGGATCCTGCGATCATCTGACCACTGTTGTCTTCCATGGACGTCCATGCCATTTTTATGTTCCTGAGCTCACCAGTGTGCTGTTCTTTCCTCAGAATGTACCAAACTGTTGATTTGGCCACTCCTAATGTTGCTGCGATCTCTCTGATGGATTTGCTTAATTTTTGACCTTACAATGGCCTGTTTCACTTGCATGGACAGCTCCTTTGAACACATGATGTAGGTTCACAGGAACAGATTCCAAATGCAAATACCACACTATCCTGGCTCTTAGAATCAACTCCAGACCTTTTACCTGCTTAATTAATGAATAATGGAGTTAGCCTACACCTGGCCATGAAACAGCTTTTTGATTCAATTGTCCAGTTACTTTTGGTCCCTTCAAAAAATGTAATCATTGGGATAGCTGCTCTTAAAAAGCTATAATTCCTAAACCCTTCCTCCAATTTGGATATACATACCCTGCAATTAAACCTAAGAGTCTGCACTTTCAGCCCATATCCATTATGCAACTATATCTTGAATACGCTTTAGTAAATATCTGAAAAAAATCTAAAATTGTGCCTGTGTCCAAATATATATGGACCTATCTACATTTATTAGATTTAGCTGTAATAAAAAGGTCCTAAAATGTAAACTAACCTTACCAATAAGCAGTAAAATGTACAGGCTGCATTGACTTGGCGATTAGAAGACTTGTATTACTGTGGGAAGGGAGGTGTTAGAGGAATTTTAGCATTGCTAAACAAATTCAAGGTGTAACCAAGAAGACAAAACAGATTTTTACAAAGCAGACCATTAAAAATGTATTATTAGAGCTTTGCAAACAAATGATCCATCACTTGTCCCTGTAACATGGTAAATAGAACACACAAATATAAAAATGACAAACTTGCAATATTTGAATGAATTTGACAGTGTGGAGCTGGTTTGTTGCTAAGATCCTAATCACTTATTTTGCTCTTACAGCAGCCCCCTTCTCTCAACATGTATATATCCAGAACCAGTTAGCCTTAGGGGTTGGAGAATGGACGAGGCACACTGAACGAAGGGGGGTCTACTGCAATATCTAGGACTGTACACTTAGACAAGGATAAAAGTACGGGAGGGACTTTTCTGAACATCTGATGTGTAGGAAGTTTATATTTGTATGACAAAAGTAAGATTCATGATATTTTCTATACAGCAGCTTAGACACTTACTCTTTACAGAGCTCTCTGTTCCCAGGAAACGACTGTGGATTAACATGAGCAAGTGTAATGAATTCATTCCTTTCCAAATTTCCAACAAGGACACGGATTTTGGATTCTACCAAACCAAACCTACAAAGATATGAAAGAATGCTTCATATATCTAAAAAGGATTCATCTAAACATTTTTTTTTATCCATCTATACATCTCATTCAAAAGACTTTACATTTTGTCGCTCGCTCAAACTAGCTAAACAAATGGTTTGCCCCCTTATAGCACCACCTATCCATATACTCTTAAAAGGGGAAAATAATCACATAGCGGCAGCTGCATTCCAGACACTTTTTGGTATCGCATCTTACCTTTACAAAGCCTGCCCTTCTTCCTAGTCATTACTACAGGCCCCTGAATCTGCTAAACAACTACAAACTTTCGGAAGTCACCATTAGTACAGGAATGGGCACACTCAAGGGACCCAGTGTGAGAGGCAACGCCTGGCAATAAGTAATTTAGGCATCAAGCACTTGTACAAAAAAGTGATTATGCAATCTCTGCATTCCAATACGTTCAGGATTTTCAGGGGGCTCTGCAGTACACAGGAGAGGCAGACAGGAGTGCTGGATGGTGTCCTTTAACCACTTTACCTCCAGAAGATATACCCCCTTGCTGACCAGGCCATTTTTCATTATACAGCACTGCGTTACTTTGACAATTGCGCAGTCATGCAATACTGTACATAAATGTACATTTTTCGCACAAAATAAAGCTCTCATTTGGTGGTATTTGATAATCATTGGGTTTTTTATTTTTTGCACTGTAAACAAAGGCCGACAATTTTGAGAAAAAAAAAACAAAAAAAAAAAAAAAAACACCAATAAGCACATACTGATTGGTTTGAGCAAAAAGTTAGTGTCTACAAAACTATCGATTTTATACTGGATTTTTTTTTTTGTAATACTAGTAATGGCGGTGATAAGCGACTTATAGCAGGACTGCAATATTGCAGTGGACAATCTGACTGTACTAATGACATTGGCTGGGAAGAGGTTTAACATCTAGGGTGATAAAAAGGATTAACTGTCTATCCAGAGTATTTGTTTACATTTATGTGTTTTTACTAAGGAATATGCTGGATTTTATTCCCTGCAGAGAAACAAAATCCAGCACATCCCCGCTGACAGGGCAGAGCTCTACATTATTTACATATGCAGAGCTCTGTCCTGTACGTCTGCTCGCTGATCAGTGGGTGGCGGTGGTAATCCATTGGCCCGCACCTGTTGATCAGCTTCTGCTGTGACAAAATCACAGAAGTGGGGTGCCAGCAGAGCACATGCGCCCTTAGCCGGAAGTGCAGAATTGCAATACATACACAATTCTGCACAGAGCAGCTGCCCTGTAGCAGTAAAGCTGCTATAAAGCTGTCAGCAAGCGGTTAATCCTGCAGCTTGTTAGAGTGGGGAAGGGTTAAAATCTTTGCTTGGTTTATAATGCTGTTGAAAAGATTTCCCCTAACTATGCACTCACTGTTCTGCTGTCCCAGTGGAGTTACAGACAGCTATGAAAACTGGACAGAGAGAAGAGTTTTATTGCTTGTTGTAGATTTATTTCCCTTCCCTTCACATCCTGGTGAAGTGCCACCACCAGCACGTCAAAAAAAAAAAAAAAAAATTCCTCCACAAAGAAGCTGTAATATAAGCATGGCCAAGCTTCTGATCTTTACCCATTTGTACCTTTAAGCTAAATGGCCAAGTATTATATTGTACACTACAAAATGAGCCATCTGTAGGCTCCAGTAAGATTATACACTGTTTCACTGCCGGTCTACATTTCACAAAAAGCAAAGGATATATAGATACAGAATGTAGTCCATACCATTCGAGATGATGCTCTTCTGAAGCTGTGGTGGCAATCAAAACAATATAGTGCCTAAGCAAGGAAAAACACAAAAATACTCCTTATACATATATTATACAGCGGTTTATTTGGATAAATATGTAGAAGACTGCAGAGCACCATAGAATAGCTGAATATTCCCCAACCAGGAAAATTCTAGTAAGAGCATCCATTTGAAGCAGAAGTTTTGGGCATTGCTGCACTCCACATTAATCTTACATTAGTGGGCTCTGCCAATGGGCTTTTGTTTGCATTTCAACACAGGTCTATAGAAATGTGAAACTCACTTGAAGTAGGTCAGGAGGTCAACTGCACGTTAAATTCTGTGGGATCCCAGAAGTATCATAAATGGATGTCAAAATTGATGCCATCAACAGGGGCAGGACCTCAGAAGACAGGGATATATAGAACATAGCAAAGATTTGGAGTACAGCTAGTGACAATTCACTTATGCGTGGAGTTCTGCTTTAGGGCCAGTTCACACCAGTGCGTTTTTTCTACATCAAAAATGCATGGACAGTAGGTTATAAAGGGTTTCAATGTACTATATAACTCCAGTGCAATCAGTTCCAGTGAAGAGGGAGGGAAGAAAAAAAAAAAAAAAAAAAAAAAATAATAATAAATGATACTCCTCAGCCCTAACAAAATCCAGCGCTGTGCATGAGAGCACCTGCTCTCTCCCTCCTTAACAGAGAGTGCGAGTTATTGCTCCTGCTGTAGTCAAAGTCATACAAGGGAGAGGGGGGGACAAGGCTGTGCCCTGTTGTCTGTGTCCATGAACACAGGCAGCGGGGGGCTTGGAAGCCAGCCTGCATGAGTGTCCCCATAGGAAGTGGCTTCCTATGAGGGCACTAGATGAAGAGGAGGGGCCAGGAGCAAAACCATTACACACAGTAGGTAAGTATGTTATTTTAGTAAAGAAAAAAAAAAAAAAAAAAAAAAAAAAAGCTTTACAAACACTTTAAAGAATAATACAAGACATGTTTTTTTACAATCATGGGTCACTTTATTTAGGTACACCTTGCTAGCGACAAGAAAATATCTCCACCCCACACCATTACACCTAGATTGTAAGCTCCAAGGAGCAGGGCCCTCCCACCTCTCTTGTATTGAACTGTATTGTTTCTCGTTATATTGTAAAGCACTGAGCAAACTGTTTGCGCTATATAAATCCTATATAATAATAATTACACCACCACCAGCCTGAACAGTTGATGCAAGACGGGATGGGTTCATGCCAAATTCTGACCCTACCACCTGAATGTTGAAGCAACCAGTCTGCCCATTTTCCTCTCACATCAACAAGGCATTTTTGTCTGCACAACTGCTGCTCAAAAGATATTTTCTCTTTTTTGGACCAGTCTCTGTAAACCCTAGAAATAGTTATGTGTGAAAATCCCAGTAGATCAGCAGTTTTTGAAATACTCAGACCAGCCCGTCTGGCACCAACAACCATGACACGGTGAAAGTCAGTTAAATCCCCTTACTTCACCACTCTGATGCTCAGTTTGAACTTCAGCAAGTAGTCTTCACCACGTCTAGATGCATTGAGTTGCTGCCATGTGATTGGCTGATTAGCAATTTGTTACACCAAGCAATTGAACAGGTGTACCCATTAAAGTGGCCGGTGAGTGTAGATGTTCCTTAGTAGCTTTTGTAAGATGCAGCCATTTAAGATTTGAGAAAATCAATGTAAATGTTTAGTAAATAAAGATAAAAGCAATTGCTTAGTCTAAAAGTAAATAAAGTCACTAAGAGGCGCACAGAGACTCAGAAGGGGGATTTAGAGAAAGTCTTATAAAACTTTTCTAGATCATACCAGCAATTGATGCAACAGGGCAAATCTCTCAATTAGTGATAACCAGCATGACTTACTTGTATTTTTGAAAAAAGTTGGGTGGGTCAAAGAGTTTCATCCAGTCTGCTTTGCCTTGAAGGATTTCATAAGTGACAGCAAGGCCTTTAAAGACAAAATCCATCATGGGTTTCTTGTCACAGTTTATTTAGTCAGTCAATGAGATACAAAAATCAGGTATCTGAACCAACCTGAAGTGATACATGCAAACATACTGTCTAAATCATACCATGCCTGAACTCTTCCATCATAACAGCACGAGTTGAGGTAGACGTGTTAAATGTAGAGTTTTGCTGAGGATATGCTGGAGTAATTATAGGCATAAGGTGATAGCGATCAGCTGGATTTACCTTGCAAAAAAAAAAAAAAAAAGTTATACAGCAACAAATTTTGAACACTATCATTTTCTGTTTGCGGAATCACACAGATGGGAGATTCTACAAAACATTTTAGCTACTGATGTGAACTCAAAATTTCAAAGAGGTTTTTTGGTACAGTCATTAGATTGTTTCAAATGTAAAATGTGCCCTGTTTTTAGGCGAAACATGTCACCATCACTGTAAATCAGGTTTAGATTTACCAATAGCTATGCAGATTGAGGGCCTGTCTTAGTAATTTTTTATTTGCATCCAGTTAGGGGCATGGCTTATACAGATGTTGGTAAATCCAACATGAGATTGTACTACCAGATTGTAGACAGGTCGCCTACTGGAGGTAGTTATAGCTGCCCTAGCTGGGGGGGGTTGGGGTTATTGCTATTGCAATTTCATGCTCTTTTCTGGGCTCTGCCACTCTCCCTGTAATGTAAATAAAGGGCTCTAGCTGCTGCATTGGAAGTACAGCATGTAACTAGAAGACACAGCATGTAATCTCCAGCTATTTCACAGAGTAGGATCAATTGCAGTCAGTCTGCTGAACTCTGTAATCATCTTCATGTAGGGAGATTGCTGGGACTTGCAGTCCACCTGGAAAATACCAGCACCTTGGGATCCACCACTATGGACTCTGCCATGTGCGGACTCTCACCTGTGTAGGTATGCTGGGCAGCTGCAGATCGGAATAGTAGCTGGGGAACTGGCTTGACTGTTCATCCTGTACTGTTGAAGAATTTTACAGTAAAGCCTTTGAAACGTTTTAATGTCTTTACGTGAAAAGGGGTATATGAAAAATAACCGGCACTCTACATATAGCCAACATCTTGGGTCAGCAAAGCACATCGGGGTAGGGAGACACAGCACAGCAATTCATTGTCAAAAAGGTAATAGAAGTCTAGTAATGAGTACATTCAGCCGGTCATGAAGCACGACAACGGTCAGGTGAGACACTCTGGAAGCGAAAGGATTGCCTCTAGGGCTCACTCCCTTAGTGGTCTGTCTCCCATAGCAACAGGAGCAGATTAGCATTACTGAGGCCCTCGACGTGGCCGCCAGGTACAGAAGAGAAAGAAGAAAGTGTACACATGAGGTCCTTGCTAGATGCACAGCGAGATCCCATTTTGTCTTGGAGTGGAGTGAGGGGGCAGAGATGGGCATAGGCTCGGCGTGTCCCTTCTAAATGGGAACAGTTACAGTCAAGGTGTGCATTGACAAGGGAGCAGACAGCTAACCAGAGTCCAGTTGGTTCACTCAGTGTATGCCTATTCTCCAAGTTGGAGGACCGCCTTAAGGTTGAATTTCCCTGACAGCCGTTCCCCCCCCCGCTTTGTCCCAGGGCATTGATGAGCACAACACAAAAAAGGTACACCATATGTAAGGCAAGTGACACTGTCCATAGTGACTACTGTAGCGAACACAAAAAAGGTAAAAAAAACCTTATGCCTTAAGAACCACTTTAATGCTCAACATCCAATTAAAAGGCTAACTGGAGTTCACAGCAGGTTAGGGCCAGACAGCCCAGAATTCCCCTCTGGTTTCAAAACCAGACTCACTTCAAAGTAGGGATACATATTAAATTCACAAAAAAAAACACGTGTACATAAATCATTAGAAAAGTTGTCTATCAATATTAATATCAGTTTATCTTAGCCTGGCCAACAGCTGTCATAGTGGATATTAATGTTACATACTCTTGGATCCCAAACTGGTAAATTCAAATTGCTTTCTTCTGGATGCTTCAGTAACACTGGATTAGGCCATTCCCTGTAGGGATATTGAAAAGCCTCATTACATATTTTCTTTGAATGCCACAAATATTCTGTAGAGAACTTGTTTTAACACTCACCATTTAGAAAAGACAAGGAAAAACTTGTGGACAAGAGTGGACGCTGCAGCATTCGGGTACAGCTGACAAGTCCTCGCAACCAACATTGCCCATGAAACACCACCAAGAAATCCCAATATGTTTGAATAAATACCACGTTCTTAGAACAAAAAAAAAAAAAAAAAAAAAAAAAAAAAAGAAAAAAAAGAAAAAAGATCACTTTAAAACTTCATTGTAAGAAATAAAAAGCAAAAGAGCAGCTAGCAAAGCCCTATGAAGAAAAACAGTGCCACCTAATGGCTGTTATAAGCAATTGCTACCTTTAGCCATAGCTATTGCTTTGAATTTTGCAGTGCACTAGAATGTCCTACTAAGGGCAGTGGGTTTGCCTGCACCGGATTGCATGGTACTACAGGACCATTTTTATTTATTTATTTATTTTTTTTAGCTGTGCATGCACTACTTTGTGTGATCCAGTGCGACTGGCGTGTATACACTTTAATCTCAAATTGAAAAACACAGGTTTAATCATTTTAGTTTTTGCTTTAGCACAAACCCCCTAACTTCTCGGCTGCGAGTTGAATGCATTATTTCCACTTTGTTAACCATAGTCCAAACAAATGGCCAACTGGCCGGCTATGATGGAATAAAAGAATTTGTTTTTGGATAGGGAATAAAAATGCAATTACAGTTTTAAGGCAATGATACATTTTAATGGAGGTGTTCCTTCTTAACCCTCATCATAAACTTGGCTAGTTATTCTTTGGCCTCCTCTACCAAACACAAAACACTAGAGATGGTTGTACACAAATCAGAATGAGGACTATAAATTTAAGGCTGTATAAATGCTATAGACAAGATCATGGTTTAATGACTGGTTAGAATGGGAGTGGATGTTTTATGACAAGCCAATATGCATTACAGAATTTCTTTATATCAAGAGCAGCACAATTTGTATATTTGAGTTACACTCACAGGCAAGTTCATAATACTAAAGCATCTCACATCACGCATGATTCTGAAGATGCAAACCATATGCTCAACCACCAATGTAAAAAAGCCACACTTACTCTTTGCCCACAACTTGACAGCTCTCAGGGTTATCCTGAAATTGTTTCTGTTCGGCACTAAATGCAAAATTTCATCTGTAACTCTACAACCTGGGGGGTATAACAAATAAAAACAAAAAAACAAGCTGAATGATCTATTCAAACATTTCTACACTGTATATACACAGTACCATGCAAAATCTTAGGCAGGTGTAAAAAAAATGCTGTAAATGAATGCTTTTAGAAATAGAAGTGTTCATAGTTTATTTTGATCAGTTAACAAAATAGAAAGTAAATGAACAGAAGAGAAATCCAAATGAAATTAGTATTTGGTGTAACCACCCTTTGCCTTCAAAAACAGCATCAATTCTTCTAGGTACACTTGCATACAGTATTTGAAGGAATTCAGTAGGTAGGTTGTTCCCAATATCTTGGAGAACTAACATCTTCCGTGGATGTAGACTGCCTCATATCCTTCTGTCTCTTCATGTAATGCCAGAGAGTCTATGATGTTGAGATCAGTGCTCTGTGGCAGCCAAACCATCACTTCCAGAACTCCTTGTTCTTTACACTGAAGATGGTTCTTAATGACATTGGCTGTAAGTTTTGAGTTGTTGTCCTGCTGCAGAATACAACTGGGACCAAGCACACTCCTCCCTGACGGTATGGCATGATGGAAAATTATCTACCTGCATCTCTCAGCATTGAGGACATTATTGATCCTGACCAAATCTCGACTCCATTTGCAGAAATTCAGCCCCACACTTGCAAGGAGCCTCCACCATGCTTCACTGTTGCCTGCAGACACTCGTACCGCTCTCCAAGCCTTTTTGCCAAACAAACTGTCTCCTGCTACAGCCAAGTATTTTGAATCTTGAATCATCAGTCCAGATCAACTGATGAAATTTTTCTGCACCCCATTTCCTAGGTTTTCATACTTAGCCTTGTTTCCATGTCCCAAGCGACTCAAGTATGCAATAAAAATAAACTAAATGCTTCTAGTTCTGAAAGCATTATTTTACAGCATTTTTTTCCATACCTTCCTAAAATGTTTGCACAGTATGGTAAACAAATTAGAATATGGTGCAAAAGTTCATTTATTTCAGTAATGCAACTTAAAAAGGTGAAACTAATATATGAGATAGACTCATTACATGCAAAGCAAGATAGTTCAAGCCGTGATTTGTCATCGTGATGATTATGGCTTACAGCTCATGAAAACCCCAAATCTACAATCTCAGAAAATTTAGAATATTGTGAAAAGGTGCAATATTCTAGGCTCAAAGTGTCCCACTCTAATCAGCTAATTAAGCCATAACACCTGCAAAGGGTTCCTGAGCCTTTAAATGGTCTCTCAGTCTGGTTCAGTAGGAATCACAATCATGGGAAAGACTGCTGACCTGACAGTTGTGCAGAAAACCATCATTGACACCCTCCATAAGGAGGGAAAGCCTCAAAAGGTAATTGCAAAAGAAGTTGGATGTTCCCAAAGTGCTGCATCAAAGCACATTAATAGAAAGTTATGTGGAAGGGAAAAGAGTGGAAGAAAAAGGTGCACAAGCAGCAGGGATGACCGCAGTCTGGAGAGGATTGTCAGGAAAAAGCCATTCAAAAGTGTTGGGGACTTTCACAAGGAGTGGACTGAGGCTGGAGTCCGTGCCTCAAGACCCACCACACACAGACAGATCCTGGACATGGGCTTCAAATGTCATATTCCTCTTGACAAGCCACTCTTGAACAACAAACAACGTCAGAAGCGTCTTACCTGAGCTAAAAAGAAAAACAGACCTGGTCTGTTGCTCAGTGGTCCAAAGTCCTCTTTTCTGATGAGAGCAACTTTTGCATCTCATTTGGAAACCAAGGATCCAGAGTATGGAGGAAGAATGGAGAGGCACACACTGCAAGATGCTTGAAGTCCAGTGTGAAGTTTCCACAGTCTGTGTTGATTTGGGGAGCCATGTCATCTGCTGGTGTTGGTCCACTGTGCTTCATTAAGTCCAGGGTCATCGCAGCAGTCTGCCAGGAGATTTTGGAGCGCTTCATGCTTCCTTCCGCAGATGAGCTTTATGGGGATGCAGACTTCATTTTCCAGCAGGACTTGGCACCTGCCCACACTGCCAAAAGCACCAAAAACCTGATTCAATGACCGTGGGATTACTGTGCTTGATTGGCCAGCAAACTCGCCTGACCTGAACCCCATAGAGAATCTATGGGGCATTGCCAAGAGAAAGATGAGAGACATGAGACCGAACAATGCAGAAGAGCTGAAGGCTGCTATTGAAGCTTCCTGGTCTTCCATAACACCTCAGCAGTGCCACAGGCTGATCGCTTCCATGCCACGCCGCATTGAGGCAGTAATTGCTGCAAAAGGGGCCCAAACCAAGTACTGGAGTACATATGCATGCTTATACTTTTCAGAGGTCCAATATTGTTCTATGTACAATCCTTGTTTTATTGATTGCATGTAATATTCTAATTTTCTGAGATTGTGGATTTGGGGTTTTCATGAGCTGTAAGCCATAATCATCACAATTGTGACAAATCACGGCTTGAACTATCTTGCTTTGCATGTAATGAGTCTCTCTCATATATTAGTTTCAACTTTTAAGTTGCATTACTGAAATAAATGAACTTTTGCACGATATTCTAATTTTTCGAGTTTCACCTGTATATAATTCACACACAAGGAATTTTCTTATTGTGTTCACATGTGGAATGTGTAAAGCCTCAATTAATGCCAAAAAAACATGCATCACAATGCAGATATATCAATGTTAAAGTAGCTAAAGCAGCTAAAGGCTCACACATGACAGTCCCAAATCTTGCGTTGTACAATCTTCATAAACAAAAGCTTGCTTCCTTGACAGAAATGCTCCTTCATTTGTGTTTTAAACTGGGTACACACTAAGAAAATCTGAAGAAAAAAAAACTGCTGTACGAGGAACGATTGTTCAATTTTCATATAGTTTGTACACAATGTTAAACATCCGATTCAGACTTTACAAATGACTTCTGAAGGGACAAACTTCAAAATTTCTTGTACGTGAACAAAACTGATTTTTGCTCAAGGTGTACGGTTTTTGTACAAGAAAAATCATATGTGAAAGACTGCGCATGATCAGAAACAAATATGCATTACAAGGTATCTCTCTCTATATCTACACCAAAAAAAAAAAAAAGTAAAATGTGGAGGGAGAGAGGGAGAGAGGGAGTTTTTAGAACCAGTGGCAGTGCTGCCAATTTAGAGAGCAGTGGACAGAACCAGGTGTGGGTCAGGTGCTGATTGAAAGGCTTGTGAATCAGCAGTGACAACAAAATGGCAACTCTGAAATCAGATGCACTTATAACTAGGTGGGGAGGATTATCAGTGGATCTATGCCAGCAACATGGGCACACTGGCAGTGACCCATTTGTCATGCATGATTTTTAATTTGCAAGCCAGACAAGTGAAATGTCATCATTTGTAACATTTTGGCCATTTGTTACAGTATATACGCCAAATTTTTACTCAGCTGTGCCTCAATTCAAATGCACAAACTTAATCACAACCTGGCAGAGATCCTAGCGATGGTTTTATATACTATCTACTTGATCAGTCCAATACAAAAACCATGACTGCACGGTTTAAGGTTTGCGAATAAATACATTTAACTCTTAAACAGGGCCCTCCTAACCCTTGTATTGAACTGTATTGTCTCCCGTTATATTGTAAAGTGCTCAGCAAACTGTTGGCGCTATATAAATCCTGTATAGTATAAAAAAAATGATTAATTAAAAAAAAAAATAATTCTATGTACACACAGCTAAAAACTTGATGAATTTTCCCATTGTGAGCCACGCACATGCTGCTACACAGCCCATGATTAAGACATATTTTCTTCTAAATCAGTGGTTGTAAACATATTACGTATATATAGGGCCTCAAATGTGGCCCGATATCACCAAGGTCTGCATACAATATGTATTATATGTAATGATGTAAAAGCCTGAGGACACTAGAGGGGATAGTCAGAACTGTGCTACAAGAATGGCTTTAGATTAGTCATGCTGTAGGATACAGTCAGACTGGGGACATGCCACAAAACTGCTAGTAACCATAGCCCTATTAGAAACCAAAGCTCCCAGACCTGCACTGCAAACACCAAAGGGCTGCATCTGGTCCTCAGGCCGCAGGTTGGGCACCAGGGTTCTAAATGGTGCATTCAAAGAGGGGAAAAAACCCAGACCTAGTTAACCAAAACAAATTGCTTTTCATATTGCACAATTACAATCTGTGTTTTACCTCCAGTACTCGGGTAATAGCTGTACTATGCATGCCACATACATTTTAATACAGTGTTTTGGAACTATACTGTATGGTTTGTTATGAAATGCACAGTATTACAGCCTGTACAGATTAAAAAAAACATTTGTTACTAGTTTTGTATAGTCCAAGTGTAGGTAAACCTTACATTTGCAGGATGTTTTTTGACCCAGGAACAGAAGTTAAGGCATTGCAACTTACCAGAACTTGTATGTGGTGGATGCTTTAGATTTTTTTTCAGGCTGAGAACATTTTTTTTAGTAAGTAGACTAAGAAAAAAGAGAAAAAGGTGCTTATCTTGCTAGAAGTGTCCTTGTCTCTTCCTATGAGCTACACTGAAAGCAAAAATGATCTCATCTTTATTTCTTCTGTATACTACTACTCTCCCCATCCCCCATGTTACAGAGATAATCAAAACCAGACATTTGTAGTCCAGCTTAGGTGGCAACCCTTGTTCCCGCTACAGATAAGAGGAGTAAGAATGTAGCTGCACAGACAGGAAGGATTTTATGTGCAGGACTACAAAGTGAAAATTTAAAAAAAAAAAAAAAAGCCTGAAAGAAAACTAATGCAGGAACCTACTTGAAGTACTAATATGCTGCAATATGTTTGTTTTTGGGTTTAGACATGCTTTCAAAAGAACTTGACAGTGCCAATACAAAAAAAAACAAAAACAAACTCCTGCAATAAGTCCACTTACCATTCAAACTCCTTATGCATCTTATATCTAAGTTTTTCAAACGTGAATCATCACGCAAGTCCATATTATCAGGAATACATTGTAAGGGCAGCCGAGCAAAAACTAAATCAATCTGAAGGTAAGAAAATATATTTTTACAATCACAAGTTAAACATAACTGCAAAAAGGACAGCAAAATAAATATGACTTAATGAACCCATGCCTAGATGCTCTACAGATAATCTAATGAACTATATACCTCAGTATCAGACTGACTCACACTCTGCATACAAGTTCCAGGGCAGAGTCCATGTACAGTAAATGCAGCCTGTCAGAGGATGGCTGCTTCCGCCCAAGCCTTCCAAGACAGGCTCCCTGCTGAACAGTACTTGGATCAAAGAACGCACTAGTTAGAATACATCAAACACCCCCTTAGTTAACTGTGCCCCAAGATTAACGTATATCTGAAACCAAACCTTTATCATTTTATTTTAGATAGAGTAGGGGAGCATTAAAAACCTTATCAGGTTTTTTTCACCTGGGTCTCCATAGGGAGATTTCCCTTAACTTTCTGTTCTGTAGGTACAACAGGAACTGACAAAATAGCTTTCCAATGTTGGGGGATATCCTATCTAAGAGCTTCTTCGCACATGCAGTGCCCTCTGAAGCATGATCCACATTGGATTGCCCTTCAGAGGGCATTTGATAGGTAGTGAGGCGGTTTTGTCTTCTCATCGCCTGTAAATGTCGTACTACCTCACATTAATCATGTGCACTGCAAGAAGTTGTGCTACAGCCCCACAGACTTGAATGGGTCACATTCAACAGCAGTAATGCCACAGCATGTGTACAGCCCTGAGTGGCTGCACGCCCAGGTTCAGGCAGGGGGTTAAACCGTGGCTCAACCGTCTGGTTTTACCATCCCTTAGTCACACAGGAACAAAAGGCTTAGACTGCTGTCAAGGGAACAGAAGTCTCCCAGTAGAAGAACTCCCTTTCTATTCTTGTTCTGGTGGCAAGTCAAAATTTTGGTTTTAGCCTCACTTTCATTCCCACCAACGGTGGGGATCAATTAGAGTGAATCCCCTAATGGAGACAGACAGCAATAAAAACCAGACAGTTATGACTCTCCACCACTCAAAATTCATACATAAAAAAAAAAAGTCCTACCTTATACTGTATCTGCCAACCTTTGGATTGATGCAGAAGGGTTATTCAGATGGGTGGGGGAAAAAAAAAAAAAACGCTGTGCACAGATGCACACAGTGTGTAATATTGTAAGCATGTGTACACAGCAGTGTGCAAATCTTTGTCCCCAATCAGTGAAGTTGCATCAAATCGAAAAGGGAATCAAGCTGCATCTGGGGCCATTTTATTCTGTATTGAACACTATCAGCTTGTAAACAAACACTTAGTCCTCATGCACACTGGATGTTTTTGGCTTTTGACATTTTTCTACAGCCAGTAAACCCCCCAGCATGTTATTCTGTGTCCATGCACAAAGACTAATCAACTTTTGGCAGGGGTGTTTTTGGCTGGAAAAACCCCCCCAGAACTAGTGGGTTTCTAGGAGTTTTCCGGCTGTAAAAAACGCGGAAAAAACACGGGAAAAAAAAAAAATAAAAATTGCAGCAAACCAGTGTTTTTTGGACTTTTTTTGGTCAAAAAAACTCTAAAAAGCAAAATGCTAAACTCACATTTTTAACGTGACTTTACACAGCTAATGTTACCAGCGTTATTAAAACGCCCCGTGTGCATGGAGCCTCAGAGTGGACATGTCAGTATCAACAATATGTAACCAGTGGCACGCCGCTGAATACACCGTTGACATGCAGGTACTGTAAAGGAGTCATACGTGCACATGCACAGAAGGGCATTAGCCTGCCATCGTTTAATGACAGCTGAAGCTATTCTGCACAAATACCAGTGTGTAATTAGCGGCACAGGGGTTGCTGACTACATATAGCTATTAAAAAGGTAGACAACAGGCTGCATTAATGCTGTATAATTGTAGATACTACATACATATATAAAAGTTACATGTGTACAGCATCTTACAGAATATTGCTACAAGTATATTCCACCAAGATTCTGTGTTTTATATTGTGAACGTCAGGGTGAATGAATGACACTTCAAATTAACAAGTGTCAGCAGGCACAAGGAGTTTGGGAAATCGTGAAGGTTTCCACAGTTGGTCACTGTTGATTCCACTATAGACACATGCACGTCAATGCAGCAATCTGGAATCCTATTTTTTTTGATACCTGGGATCACTTAACCGTAAAAGGAATTGACCAACCTCCATTTTTGCCATCACAGGGCATAAGCACGCATATTCCTTAATTTTTACAGACACATTCTACTCATTCACCGGAATAGGACTGATGATCAAGCTGTCAGAATACTGTAAATGCTTAGGAATTTCTGCACTGTATATTTGCTGGCTGCCAGTTCTGTGGGCCAACTCCCATACAGATAGAGCACCCACACTATTGGTTAGTTATGATCATATTATGCACTAGTACTATAACCACTTCCATAGGAAAACCTATTTCACCTACCTATAACAATGCCAGAGGAAATATAAAAAAAAAAAAAAAAAAAAAAAAAAAAAATTCACCTTCATCTTATGGCAAATAGCATTCAGTTATTTATAAAGCAATACTTTACATAAGGCTTCATACCTCTATCTTCAAGAATTCAAATTTTATAACAGGTACAAAAGCATCCTCCACAGCCTTAAAAACAAAAAACAAAAGCATTTATTACCTTTTGTATACTAGGACTGTTACCATATTTTATGTCCAAATTCAGGTGTATATGAAATAGGTTACTTGGAAAGGAGTACTATTTGCCCTCAGTCAAAAAATCCATACATTTTGATGATTGGCACTAACAGTTTTCAGAATTGTGGAAACTTTAGCACACTAGTGATTCTGTTATTGGCAAGAACTCACAAGATGATCACTAGCTCATTTGTATTTAGAGGGTGTGTTTTGGAGTATATTACTAGTAGTTTAGTTTATTACAAGTTGTTACTTTTATCAGTTTGTTCTTTCGTTGTGTGAAAAAAAAAAAATAAAACCCTACCAAGGGGCTTTCAGGCACAGGAAAAGGATCAGGAACGTTCAAAGAATCCTTTACCCTTGGGAGCAATAAAGCACACGGCATGCTTGCAAACCACCTTAAAGTCCACTTTATCTGTTAACTTTTCCCAGTTTGCATTAAGCCAAAATACTATGATTTCACCAGTCTCCAGATTACATTTTACTAATCAATGATTACAGAGGGTAAAAGAAGCCTCAAGTCATTATCCACAGCAACCAAAGTCTTTAATTCCCCATAGAATGAAGAGGAGGCCTGAAGAGCCACCATCAACAATATTGTTCATTTCGCTTAAAAGACAGCCCTTAAACTGAAGGATAAAGTGTTGAAAAGGCTTGTATTGGCCTTATTTTATACACACAATTTTACACAAAACTACATTTGGGACAAGATTTTTTTTTTTTTTTTGCTAAAAAGGTGGACTAAGCATCTAGAATTTCAGCTGTCATTCCTATTTCTGGAGTCTATTCTAGTAAAAAGGTTTCCCTGTTCCTAATAAGGAGTTTGTTTGGGCAAACCTTGAACTGACCAACTACTGAGCCTTTAACTTTCTGCCACCTCAATTGGGGTGGTGACTAAACCGTAGGCTGTATGGAATGTATTAAATCGGACAGAGAATGCATCCACATACCCGGACATTCCTTATCCCATCCTGGAGCTTTAATTTTTCAACAAACGACTGAAAGAAATCTGATCGCTCAACATGCCTTGGTGCAACACACAGAGCATCAATATCAGAGCCTTTAAAAAAGAAAACAACATTTATCATACATGTCAACTACATAAAGAATACATAATTGGCAGGCACAGATGACCGCAAACCTTTAGTATGAACTCCAAGCCGGTAAGATCCAAATGTGAAGATTTTGCCTCCAGCTGAGGATATTGTAGTAGATGGAAGGCTCTAAAAAAAAAAAATTTTATTAGTTATTCACCAGTTGTTATAGTAGCCATTTCAACTGCTGCATGGATTGACAGTTTTTAATATGACTGTAAAAGACTCAAAGTCATCACTGGCATCCAATAACTACCAATCAGAAAACCCAATATGATGTTTTCAAAAGGATAGACAACTGTTAACAAGGATAAGTAGTACATAGGGGCTCTGGCAAAGCTAATAGAAAAATGATGCCGTGTTCAGTACTTTGTTTTATGTAAATCCATTTCTAAAAAACGGTGCTATTGACATAAAATTTTCACCACGTCGGTAACAATCCATGCAACCCATACAAAGAAACAAAAATTAAGTAAGTTATGTGTAATTAAAAAAAAAAAAAAAAAAAAAAAAAAAAAGTACTGAGCACATGAACAAAGGGCATGGAAAACCAAGACACTGAAGTCCTGATCATGTGATCACTGATTGGCCAATCAGTGATCACATGAATAGTAGTAAGCAAGATGTCACTTCTGACATTACTACTAGTGAAATCTGTGAATGATCTAGAGATCACATGGGTGTGCGCACAGGCAGGGAGGACGTTTATAAACAGCCACTCGCCCCTGCACTGCTCCCGTCCAGCCGTTTATATACATGGGCCGGACGGGAAGTGGTTGACAATTGCGTGGTCATGCAACACTGCACCCAAATGAAATTTCCTTTTTCCCATGAATATAGTTTTCTTTTGGTGGTATTTGATTACCTGTGTTGGCTTTTATTTTTTGTGCTAAAAAAAAAAAAAAATCCCATTAAGTGTAAATTAATTGGTTTGCATGAAAGTTATAGCATCTACAAATGGTGGTGTATACATTGGGCTTTTTTTAAAATTAATTTTTACTAGCAATGGCGGCGATCAGCGACTTATGGCAGGACTGCAGCGAGCATTCTGACACTGGGGGGAACTGACGATGTCACCGACATCCCCAGTGACACCAATACAGTGATCAGTGCTAATAAAAAGCATTGACACTGTACTAATGGCACTGGGCAGGAAGGGGTTAACATGTGGGGGTGATCAAAGGGTTAACTGTGTGCCATTTTACAATGTGTGCGGTGTTTGTGCTTCACTGGCAGTGCCATGCAAAGCAGCGTGCAGGAGCTGACAGGAAGGAGGACTGTTTTGAAACGTCACCAGCACACCAAAGTACTCCAATATGGGTCCAAAGCTTTAATAACCAATCACATAGTTACAGCAAGAGCAATGTTTCGGAGTCTCACAGGACTCCTTCAACAGGCATGTGAAGGGGTCCTGCACGTCTCCAGAATGTTGCTCTTGCTGCTATGCGATTACTTATTAAAGCTTTAGGCCCATATTGGAGTACTTTGGTGTGCTGGTGACATTTCTCCCCTGTGATGTTTCTCGGTTGCAGCCAATGGTCACTGTACAGCACCCACCTACACGCATAGCCACTCTCTGATGCAGGAACAAGTGCATTGGGTTTTGGAATTTTGCTTGGCTCCAAATGTATTCTGCAGCAGGACATTGACCCCAAACATACAGCCAATTTCATTAAGAACCATCTTCAGCATAGAGAACAGGGAGTCCTGAAAGTGATGGTTTGGCCCCACAGGGTCCTAATCTCAATATCATGGAGTCTGTCTGGCATGAAGAGACAGAAGGATTTGATGCAGCCTACATCCACAGAAGATCTGTGGTTAATTCTCCAAGATGTTTTTAACAACCTACCTGCCGAGTTCCTTTGAAAACTGTATGCAAGTGTACCTAGAAGAATTGATGCCGTTTTGAAGCCAAAAGAGAAAGGTCAAACTAAATTTGATTTTCTCTTCTGTTCATTTTCGTCCAATGTTGTTAATTGATAAAAACTACGAACACTTCTATTTCTGAAAGCATTCTTAATTTACAGCAGTTTTCACGACTGACTAACTTTTACACTGTAAAATATATATTTTATTTCTAAACCACTGATTTTAACGTGTTTACACCCATTAATGGGTATCTGTATATGTAAAGTGAATGCAATTTTATTAGGATTAAAGTGAGAGCTTTACAAATTTACACTCTGGGAGGCTTATTTTATCTTTTACGAGTACCATCACTGGGACATATTGAGGAGGAGCACTGTGGTTTTAAGCACAACAAGGTGCAGTGTATCCATGGATAAGACATTACGCAGATTAGAAAGTCTATACATACAGAATTGTAAATCTGAGTTTACATGTGGACATTTATTGTTCTGCACTGTAATGGAAAATAAGAGACTTGCACAAATGGCACTGACACATTAATTCTTATTTACAAGTGTATTTTGTATTTGAAATTTTTTTATTGCACTGACGTTTTGACATCAATTTCAACGTATCAGAGATTTTGGTTATTTATTCCATGGACTCGTAGATCGTTGAGTACTTTCAGCATAGGCACTTTTACGATTTATTTGCATTGTATGTCAACTTTTTGTTGGTTTGCGCTGCACTTTCTGCTAATGGTTTGTTTGGCTTGTGGTAAATATACAATCTTTGTCAGAAGCAAGCAGTTAGTATTACATCTGTAGGTAGCACAGAGGACCTGTCAAGTGTTGTGTTGGTAACCCCCTATCCCTGGCATTCAGACAACCATCCAACCTCAGACAAACTAATAGGAAGCTTCATTCTCATTGCAAAGTCACAAATAATGGAAGCAAACCCTGCAATAAAAAAAAAAAAAAAAAAACCCACACGCTACAAACTGACACTAAGCCCTGGTACACACTGAATGCAACTTTGAAATTGCGCTACTTGACTTGAATTTCAAAGCTGTAGATCAGTGCGATTTGTACCTCCGATTTCACAGTGGATTACAACTTCATTAAACAGAAGTCAATGCAAGTTGCAATGAAAGGAAAAAAAGCAGTGCAGCAACTATTTTTGAAACCCACACTACTTCAAAAATGTACTGTAAGACAGTGCCATAGAAACACATTAGATGCAACTTCAGGTGTGATTTGCAAGTCTCATGTGGAAACTGAAGTCGCAGAGGTGTGAACCACAGCTTTGATGGATTGATTTGGTGACACATAAAAAGGACCTTCAATATCACAGGATCATACAACTGCACCTCCAGTACTGTTATGTACATGTTGCAAACAAGGATGAATGTGCACAGACACCATCAAGGAACATAAAGAAGAGGATTTCTGCACACCTGTGGGACATAGTTTCACGACCTGAACACACCATAGAAGACCTCAATTGTTCTTAAAAAGGGAATTTCAAAACTATTCAGGGAAGGAAATAATTGTCATTCTATTTGACACAAAAATAAGGGCCTAAATATAGAACTGGGCTGTCTTGCTCATTATCCAACAGTTTTCTGACCTCCTCCTGTCTATAGCTCTCTCTCACCAGCTATCCTAGTTTAATTACTTCTGCCTGGCAGTACTAGTGTCATTGGTTCGAACCCCATCCACGGCGCCACCTGCCTGGAGTTGGCATGTTCTCCCTGTGCCTGCGTGGGTTTCCTCTGGGTACTCCAGTTTCCTCCCACATGCCAAAGACATGTTGGTAGGTTAATTGGACCCTGTCTAAATTGGCCCTAGTATGTATAAATGTGAGTTAGGGACCTTAGACTGTACGCCCCTTGAGGGTTGGGGACTGATGTGAATGTACACTATATATGTAAAGTGCTGCATAAATTGATGGCGCTATACAAGTACCTGAACTAAATAAATAACCATTGCTGTGTACATTTGTTTGTGGGGGTTTTTTCCCCCTCTTCAGAGAGATTGTCTTCAACTTTCTGCTAAAACTTTGCATTAGTACTGCTTGGACCTTGAATAAGGGGACATACCCCAAAATCTTCTCCCAAAATTGTATGCTAATGCAAATAAAAGGATCATGGACAGTACTCATTTTTTCTGTGCACATGCACTTATACGGCTGCAATCACCTCAAGCAAGATGGAAGATACTAATCTCCTCAAACTCCCCGCAAGTCAGACTGGTAAAGGATAGGGATTTTAGTAAGCCAATCAGGCTTTGCTGAAGTTTAAAAGATGCATATTGTGAACGTAACCAAGCATGCGGATTGGAAAAAAAGTATAGAGATGACCACATCAGCGATCTGCTCTTCTTTCACGGTCAATTATGGTCTTTGGCAAGCTCAAGTACTTTGGACTACAGTCAAAACTGGTCAACATTTTGCATAGTATTTAGCAGAGGTATCGAGCAGGGTAGGATCACACATTTGTGGTGGGTAGGATGGTTCACTAAACGTGGTTAAATGTCTATCTAGCCATTTGCCAAGACTTACACTTTAATCTTAAGAAATCTCTTCTAGAGTATTCTGACAACCTCTTTAATTGTTACCTTAATTTCTCCTAGTTCAGCAATCCATTCTTTGACCAAGCTGTTAAGTTTGCCCAATACAAACATTCTGAAAAAGGAGAAAAGATGCAGTTATAGCCCTGCAGAATTCACAACTCAAACCTTTGTGTACATCGTTCACATTTCATAAGACAGAACATTTCACAAATTGCCCATTTAATAAACTTTTGCTCCATGGGGTCATTTGGGCTTGAAGAATTCTAACCTGTGACTGAGCTCCTCATCGTCTTCAAATATTCCAAAAGGCTGCAAAGCCTCAATCAGCTTCTCAGTGCAGATTTTATCGCTTTCTTTGGGACCAGCCCAACTAATTGGAGAGGTGATGCCAAAACATTTTTGAGCTTGGACCTCTAGGTGGTCATTCCTGCCAAAGAAAAGAAAAGAAAAAAAAAAAAAAAAAAAAAAAAAAAAAAAAAAACAACTTTAAGTGGTTGTAAACTTCAAACATGAAATATGAACAATACAAAAAAACTCCAATGACAGGCTACAAATACGAGAAGGCCACAAAGGTGCTATCTCTGAGGATTGGTGAGGACTTAAAATCGCTGAGGGATATTTGAGATATAGGTGTACAATAGTAGTACCCTGAGATTTGTAGAAAAGCACTATCAAAACCATAGGATTCAAGCATAGCAATGAGACATTCCCAGGATGGGCAATTAGCTTGTGCATGTGAACAGACAAAAGCACAACCAGTCTATTTGGCCTGTGTGCAGGATCATAGGTTGGGCCCTAGACGCAGATGAAAAGAAACTGTTGTGAAGCGAAAAGTGGGCCGGGTTTAAACTGTGTCAAATAATGGGTGTGGCAGCAATTTGTAATGTGTAATAGAAGCAACATTTTCATTAGTAGGTGCCCTGACGGTGTGTTCACTTTTGAACATTCGCGTATGTTGGCAGGGAAGGGGAGGTTCATACTGTTTGCAAGTTACTTTTTTGACACTTTTTTTAAACTAAAAGTCTCCTATTTGATACAATATATGATAGATTCTCTTTGATGAGACATTGAAGCCAATAGAGCAGACTGTCCAGGAGAGGGGAGGTTGGGGGAGGGGGGGCAGAGGAGAAGAGGGGGGTCTGAAGAGTAGAGAAGGGGATCCGAGGAGAGGGGGGACCTGGAGGGTCTGAGGATGGGAGATCTGGGGGGTCTGAAAGAGGAGAGAGGGGAGGTCTGAGGACTAGAAAATGAAGATCTGGGCCTGAGTTGCCCCCCACCCCTTCCCCCTTGTACATGCAGACCACACTGTGAAGCATCTACTTCCTTCCTCCCGCCATGTGACGTCACATGACAAGGGGAGAGAGATGGATCGGCAGCCTCCCTTCACAGCAGGGCTGCGGACAGTAATATGGAAGGGTGCTGAGAGGACTAACTGGGAGTGCCGAGTACTCTAATGGGGAGCTGAGGGCAGGAATGGGAGAAGGGGAGGGGGGTCCCTGAGAACAGTAATGTAGGGGAACGGAGTATGATAATGGGGGGCTTAGGACAGTAATCCCCCAGGACAGTAATGTGGCAGGGTGCTAAGGACTGTACTGTTGCAGGGTGTCGATGTCAAGGGGGTATGAGAACACTACTGTAAAGGGGGAATCTTGATGTGAAGGGAGAGAACTGTAATGTTCAGTGGGTACTGCTGTAAGGATTGTGATATGGGGCTTGGTTCAGATCTGTGCATGTGCATATCGCAGGTAGGTCACCCCATTCATTTGAACGGGCAGCACTACCCACGAGAAATGAGGGGAAAGAAGTGCTTGACTTTTTGTCAGGAACATGTGCAATTTTGCCTGCATTCCCCAGCTGCAGATTGGGAATGCCTAGGAGGAGAGGGTGCTGTGATGAAGGACCTGAGTCACATCACAAACATTTGATTTGGATCTCTGCTGGAAGATGTCACGAACCGGACCTCCATGAATTTTAAACTGAGTACTTCTAATATATACCATACCTAGCCTATGCCCCTGAAGTTGGAAATTGCTAATGTAGACCCCACTACTCTGGTCATTTCCACTTGCCTCCGGATACTTCACCGCTTGATTGTGAACACAGGAGGTCAGCTGCTCAGCATGGGCTCCATACAGAGAACACTTTACATTTTCTTAATGTGAGCAAAGAATTTTCTACTTGGACGAGGTGAGGAGGTGGGGCGATGACATCTATCTGCTCTCCACTATATCCAATCAAAGAATGCTTTGCACCCATTAATAAAATGCAAAGCATTCTCTTATTGGCACCTGTGCTGTGCATCCAACCTCCTGTGTTCAGAATGCAGCATGGGACCCGGAAACAAGTAGAGAGCACTGGAGGACGGGTGTCTACCTCAGTGATTTCAAGATTTATGGCTGGACCAATGTAACTGTTAAAATACACCATACTTGGAATTCTTCTTTAAGCCATATATGAACGTAAAATATCACTTAGAATTTCTGCATTATTCTATAAAAATAAAACTGTTCCAGTAAAATATTGAATGTGTTCTCATGCCTACATAGCTCCAAAACACAAGGACTTGGACTTCACTTTGCCTTTCCTAATCTGTCTGCTTGTTCCAGGTGAGTGTCCCAAAATATGAATGCAAGCCAGGCAACTAGCATTTCCAGAATGTGGTCCGCAACTGCAGTCCGTACATAACATTCAGCATGTTTTCTTTAATAGCTCTAGCTAGCTTTACATAGTATATTATAGATTTTTTTACAGCATCTTTCCCTGTGATCAGTTTTAGGCAATCCGAAATGCACATGAGATTATTAAGCACATGTGTGCCATGTTTATTTTGAAAGATATCAGGCATGACATTTCTTTAAATAAATCATTACTTGCAATATGTAATTCACAGGCAGCTGTCAGAAAAAAGGGAATACGTATAAAAAAAAAAAAAAAAAAAAAAAAAAAAAATATATTATATATATATATATATATATATATATATATTCGCTGTCCAAAGCAATGTTAATACATTAAAGCATTTATTATTAGAAACTAAGAAAACTGAAATACTATTGCTACTCATCTAACACACAAAATGCACATCTCCCAGGAAATGCAGCTGCTGCACTGAGTAATGCAAGTTTTAAAATAAATACAGTCAAGCATATCTTTCCTTTTCAAAAATAGATACACGCTTCTCCCCCTCCCCACTCACACGAAGCTATTTAAGTGAACAGCACACCTCTGGAAAGTGACTTACCATTTGTTTCACTGGTTAACTAGCAGAAAAGGTTGCAGCTTTAAAATCTACCTAGCAACATGAGCAAAACCCTATTTAACCTCCTCGGCGGTATGATTCTTTCCGATTTTTTGTGCTCAAAGCGGTACCTTTTTTTGCATGGAAATATGTAGTTTTTTATTGTAGGCTGTAAATTTTAGGAATAACTCACTGAAAGCTGTACGAACAAGAGACTAGTAAACATTCCGGATATGATAAAACTTGAAACACGAAATCATAAATTATAATTTAATAAATAATCAAAAAATAATATTATAATAATAAATTTAATTCAATAATATAATCAAACCAAAAACACTGAAATTTGAAATACAGAGGCAAATTCGCACATCGCTGAGCAAAGTCGCAACATTGTTTTCAGTGTCTGATGACGAATTTCCCCACGAATCATTATCACTCAATTCTGCAAGTGGTTCTGATTTACTATCGCTGTTTCTAAAACCACTTTTGACGTAAAGTGACGCTTTTTGGACGCCATGGACTTTTCTAAGTTTCCAGGCAGAAAGAACAGTCAAAATGCAGGCAGGGCACAGGACAAAGCACTCGGGACAAAATATACGTGAAATGTATTGAAACAGCAAAAATGACATTTTTTAAAAATTTCAAATTTCCCGCCGGTTCCGGCGCCCGTACGTCCCGACATCACAGGGACCGGAACACGGAAGCCGGATGCCGGCATCGGCCGGAGGAGATGGCCGGGGATGCTGCAGGGGACACATCGCAGGAGTGAAGGACAAGGTAATTGCTGCAGGGACCCCTTGAGCAACGCCGCATGGTAAGCCCGAGTGTAGCTCAGGGTTTCCGCTCTTGGTACTCAAAATTTTGAATCCCAAACTTCTAATTGCCTGTTCACACATAGCATAGCAAGTGGTGTTTTCCTGCACTGGAGGAATGCCAGTCACAGCTCGGGCACATAGAAAACAATAGTTTTCTAAGCACCATATTCACATTGCAATGCAGCCCAGATGTGCGGTGGAGTGAGTTGCAATAAAATAAAGACATGTTGCATTTTACTGCAGCACACAGGAAGGCACTGCATGCCTCTACACAGCTGCACATCTCACTGAACTAACTTTGTGCACCTTAAATAAAGATGCAAGAAAAAAAATGCCCTGAAATGTGCATCACATTGTTCCTCACCACTGGTTCGCTGCAGCCAAAACAGACCGCACCGTGCTGTCAAAAACACTGTAAGGGCTCATGTACACTGCAGCTGATAAACTCACGTTTAGGAGCTGTTCAGCGTTTTTTTTCAGCAGCGCCTGAACTCATCCTAATGTTTTCCTATGTGTCCATGTACACATCGTTTACAGGCAGTTGAGTTTACAGTCTTTTTTTGAACGCAGAAAACTTGCGTTCAGTCGATTTTATCAGCGTTTCAAATGCAAAGCGCTTGTAAACGCAAGATGAAAAATGCATGCAGAGTGTTTTCAAGGCACTCAGATGGACAAAACACTGAACACAGGATGTTCCTACCAAGCTTGTCACACATTGTAATGACCAATTCACACCTCAGACCTCTCCCACCCTTGGAAACAAAAGATATGTTAATGACCATTCACACCTCAAATTCCTCATTCTCCCTGCCAGGTGGCCTTAATGGCTCACTCCAGACACCTTTCCCACCCTTGGAAACAAAAGAAATGTTAATGAGCAACTCACACCTGAACTTATCTCAACACATACTGCTGTCTCTGCTTCTACTCTCTGTATTTCTCTGAAAGTCTGAAATAGTTAATAATTTACCACTTTTCAGTGCATTCTGGGCATTTGGAAGGTTCACCTGTGCTTATCGTTAAAAAATGCTTCTATGACACAAACGCGCATAAACGCGTTATGCAAACGCAGGTAAACAGACGTTTTTTAACCTACATTTGCCAGCAGTCAGTTTCCATCGTTCAGAAGTGTCCCATGTACATGGGGGCCTAAAGGATAAGGCTACCTTTCAAAACATGTTACACCCATATTCAGCTAGTAGGAGATCTGTCAAAATAGAAAAAAAAAAACCCACACACCCGTACAGGGCTCTAACCCCCTGGCCACGCGCATCGTTCACAGTCTTCTGTGAATGAGAAACTACAAGTCCCGACAGCCTTAACAGCTGTTGACTTGCAGTTCTCAATGCACTTCCATGGTGCTGTGGAGTGCC